ATTAAAGTGTAGTGATCACATATAGCTCAAGATTTTCATCTATAATAAAATATTGTTAACTATTCTTTCCTAACTCATAACACATTGCTAGGTGATAAAATATCACAGAGTTTTGGTATGCCTATTATTCTTTTGACAACTTAAAGAAATTGGGTTGTTATGACCTATACTAACTCAGCCAGGTGAAATCATAATATGACATCAAGAAAACTTATTATTTTCTAAATTTATAACGATATTACCCTGGGCTTCTTTATAAATGTCACAAATATAAGTATTAGCTGTACGGTCTTATTATTATCTGTAGGATCTTTTAGTCTACCAGAAATGAAGTTATAACGTAAAACTCCACATTGTAGAAAAATTTGACATATGCACAAGATGGGTAACACTTACCTAATTATAAAGTGAACCTACCTCTTTAGTGCTTCTATGTGCTCAATATATTGTCACACATAAAACTGTTTAATAATTCCTCTCCCATAAGACTCTGAACTTACGAACCAGAACTCCATTCTGTTCATCTTTGTTAACCTCATTCCCTAGAATGGCTCTACTCAAAATTGTCATTCATGGAACTGAATGAGTAACAACAGAATATCTATATCATATTTGTACAGAAAAGTGAAGTAGAAAAAGAGGAACTCAGATAAATAGAAAGTACATTTTAATAATGTCCAATTAACAGGATCAAGACACAAGTATATGGAGAAAAAAACAACAAAACAAGGGTGAAAAGCTGGGATCTTTGAAATTCAGATAAATTAGAATCTCTATTTTGGCAAGAACAAATGCTATAACCAAAGCCAATCACTTTGCCTCCCTGGATCTCAATTTTCCCCTATGTAAAATAAAAAGAAAGCAGATATGCTACGAAGGTGGCTCAGTGGTAGAGCGCTTGCCTTGCATGCATGAGGCCCTAGGTTCGATTCCTGAGCACCACATAAGCAAAAAGAAAAAAGCCGGAAGTGGCGCCATGGCTCAAGTGGTAGAGCGCTAGCCTTGAGCTGAAGAGCTGAGGGACAGTGCCCAGAGTTCAGGCCCCACGACCAAACCAAAAAAAAAAAAAAAATAGAGTATCAACTAAGTCTATTTATGAACTAGTAGGTCCATAAATAGTAATAGGTTTCATCAGTAGTTAACCACTGCCCAATCAAAAATTATATACTTATCCCTAAAATAGAAATTACTATCACTTATTCAATAAACATAAGAAAAAAATCAAAAGTTTTGTCAAAAGCAGAAGTGAAGATTTTGGAACAAGAATTAAGGGGAAAATTGTTAGTTATACCCTAGCAGCAAATATAGTATACAGGACAAAACAATAAGCATGTTTTTGCATTTCTCTGAACTAGAAGGCTCTTTCTAAATTACATACTTTAACTGTTCAGGCATATTTCTTAATATTTTTGCAAAAACTAAGCTTCAACAGTATGTACATCTAAGACACATTTTCTCTCTGCCCCCAACAAGACAAAAACAAAACAGTCTGGGGGCATAACTCAGTGGTAAACCACATGCTTAACTGCTCTTAGACTAAGTTCAAGCCTCAGCACAGCAAGAAAAAAAAAAACATGAAAGATACCAAATACATTCTTGAACCTGAACATTAAAATAGTTCACAGGCCTATATTCCAACTTCGTAGTCAAAAAAACCCTCTGCCTTAAAACAGATGAACCTTCTGCCTCAGATAAAAAGCATCAATGGGAATAGATTTTGAACTTGAATACCAGAATCAATACAAAAATATTGGGGTCTAATTAATACTTTTTAAAATGTAAACATGTTCTCAGTACTATACTAAAATACTGTACATTAAAAAAAAACTAAAGGTATACAGAAAAATCTTCCCAGATTAAAAAAATAAAAAGAAACTAAAAGGTCTCTGCATACAAATAATCTTCCCAACCTTATGCACAAGTTTAACAACATTTCTCCAAAGGACACAGAAAGACAGATAAGCAATTACAATACATATGCACATTTAAGAATTTGGAACTAAGAAATGTCACAAAACAAATTTTACAAACAAATTCCAGATATTTAGGATCCAAATATATTGTACTTCCAAAGGCTTTCTCAAAGGCAATAGTACCTTGAATGGACAATTGTAGATGTAGGAATATTTTGCAATAGAAAACAAGTAACATTTCCACCAAAATTAAGGTTAAAAAACTGAGACTTCTAGTTTATACAAAACAAACGAATAAAAACATTAACTAATATGAGTTCTATTAAGAAGGAAAACTCAAGTTGACTTTTTTTTTTTTTGTCTGTCATGGGGCTTGAACTCAGGATCTAGGGGCTGTCCCTGAGCTTTTTCACTCAAGGCTAGTGCTCTACCACTGAGCCACAGTACCACTTCTGATTTTCTGAGTGGTTTATTGGAGATAAGAGTCTCATGGACTTTCCTGCCTCTGCTGGCTTTGAACCATGATCCTCAGATCTCAGCCTCCTGAGTAGCTAGGATTACAGGTGTGAACAACTGTTGCCCAGCTGAGACTTTCATATTTAAAACTAAGTGACTTTTTTTTTTTTTGGTTGGTCATGGGCTTGAACTCAGGGCCTGGGCACTGTCCCTGAGCTTTTCTGCTCAAGGCTAGTACTTTATCACTTTGAGCTGTGCTCCACTTCTAGTTTTCTGTGGTTAATTGGAGAGTCTCTTGGACTTTTCTGCCAGGCTGGCTTCAGTGACTCTAGCTCTCAGTCTCCTGAGTAGCTAGGATTGTAGATGTGAGCTACCAGGGACTGAGTGCTATTTCTATTGCTTGTGTTTATGGATATATTTATTTATTTACTGATAGTGGCAAGACCGTAATTGGTTACAAATGTTAACTCAGTCTAGAAAAGCCCAATAACCAATTAACTTCATCCAGCATGCCCATTGTATACACACTATAAATTACTTAATCAAATTATAATGAACCTAAATTTCTTAGCTCTATGTCCATGAATTATACACTAACTTCCCTTTAATAACTAGTTATTGACCAAAATAGTTCTGGCTCTCTTAAGCAATTACAATTTACTGGTTCCATTGCTTCATGATAGGACAATACTGTATATATTTTTTAAAGCCAAGTATTTTAACCTGCATTACTTCATTTTAAACTTCCAATAACCCTATGAAGGCAAGAATTATTGTATTTCATTGATAAAGCAGACTTAGGAAAGTTCAGTTACTGTTATAAAGTATTTGGAATAACAAGACATTATATAACCTATTAATGAAATAATGTCACATAAATGAAAATAATCCTAAAGTTACTGAACTTAAAAATCAATACTTTTGCTGGGCACCAGTGGCTCACACCTGTAATCTTATCTACTCAGGAGGGTGAGATCTGAGGATCACTGTTCAAAGCCAGTCCTAGCAGGAAAGTCTGGGAAGTTCTTAGCTCCTAGTAACCACCAGAAAACTGGAAGTGTTACTGTGGCTCAAGTGGTAGAGAGCTGAAGAGCTGAAGAGCTGAGGGACAGTGCCCAGGCTCAGAGTTCAAGCTCTATGACTGACCAAAAAAAAAAAAATCAATACTTTTCTCATTTCATCAAATCTTATGGCTATCATGGGAAACAAAAGGAGCATTCTAGCCAGGCGCTGGAGTTTCATGCCTATAATCCTAGCTACTCAGAAGGCAGGCTATGACTTAAAGACCATAGTTTGAAACCAGATCAGACAGTAAAGTCCTTGAGACTTCTTATCTCAAATTAACCACTAAAAAGCCAGAAGAGTACCTGTGTCTCAAGTAGAATGACAGCCTTGAGCAAAAAAAAAAAAAAACCTCAGGGACCAATACCTAGTCCCTGAGATCAAGTCCCAGGACTAGCACCAAAAAAAGTAAAATCTTAAAGCAAATTCAAGGTATAACCAATAGTAGTATAAGAAGAAAAAAAAATCACCTTTTCTACATTGTATTTATATATGAAACAGTTTAAGAACATTTCAAATACTACAGTAAAAATACCTTAAGATATTCGGTTGATTTTTTAAAATCTACTCTATTAATCCTGTTACACTATACACACACCAATTCTGCATAATGCATACTGGTGGATAACTGGTATGATTAGCTTTAAATCACACTATACATGAATTAAGAGAAAAATATCCAAAAATCTTTATTTTCCTAATTTTAATCTCTTCTTGACTTAGTGGTTCTCTAGCCAAAGGGTCTCCACAATGAAAAGCAAACAATTCATAAAGTTTGGGTCCAAGATGTCCTCCAAAGGCCCATGCATTAAGTTTTGTCCTCAGATTGTGGTGTTACTTGAAAGGTGGTTGAACTTTTAAATGGAACCTAGTTGGATGAATCTAGATCATTAGGGTTGTGCCCTCAAAGGAGACACACTGAGTTGCTAGTCTTTCCTATCTCTTCCTCTTCCTCTTTTTCCCTCTCTGTCTTCCTCCCTCTCTACTTATCGATTGCAATGAAGTAAGCAACTTCTTCCTCAATAGGAACCCACCATGAATATGCTAGCTCACCATAGTCTTAAAAGCCACAAAACTAAGGACTGAAACCTCTGAACTTAAGTAGGCAAAAATAAACCTTTCCTTTAAGATTGAATTTTCTCAAGGATTTTGTCAGTTTATAACAGATCAGTGAAATAAACAAGAAGTTATCTGTTTTAATAATTCATTAAAAAATAATTCATTTTAATATTTACAATATAAACTGATACTGTCTCCTTCCATAAACTTACATATACACATACACATATATCCACACACATATATGTGTATACATATGTGTGTATGTGTATACATATGTGTGGATATATATGTGTCTATGTGAATATATATAGTTGAGGGGAGGATTTCTATTCAAGAAAATATGATTATTGCTATAAACAACAAAGGTATATGGGATGGAAGAGACAAATTATTCTACATTGTATCAAATAATCAAAGTATTTATTATAAAGCATTCAGTATTCTAGACACATATACAAATAAGATTTTTCAATTAGCTTCACATAATTCATACAAGGTATAACTTACCTCATCCTGGACTCCACTGGTAGTAGTCAACTTGCTCCCATCAGTAATTGTAATAATTATTGCTGGCTCCAGGAAAAAAGGGTTTCTTCCCTAAAGACAAAAACAAACCATTTTATGGTTTAGACTCCCTAAAGACAAAAACAAACCATATTATGGTTTAGACTCAGGCCTAGTTTTTTGAAGGAGTCAATTCTCAGAACAGAACTAGCATATATCTCCCTGAAAGTATACAATCTCTTTTGTGTTAATAAACATGGCATATAACACACATCTATTTGTATATACAAAAAGATGATTTGGGGGGCTGGGAAGGTGGCTCAGTTGTAGAGCACTTGCCTTGCATGCATGAGGCCCTGGGTTCGATTCCTCAGCACCACATAAATAAAAAGAAAAAAGCCGGAAGTGGCGCTGTGGCTCAAGTGGTAGAGCCCTAGCCTTGAGCTGAAGAGCTGAGGGACAGCGTCCAGACCCAGAGTTCAGGCCCCATGACCGACCCCCCCCCAAAAAAAAAGATTTGGAAGGACATAACCTAAATAGTAGTTAACCCTAAAGAAGGATTGGCTAGAAAAGCCTAGATTTTTTTTCTCCTTTATATTTCTGTTTTTAACTTTTATAGGGAACATTTACCTTTATGTAACTTATAAAGTATTTAATTTCTCACAATGGACGTATAGGTTGAGGCAGGAGGATCCCAAGTTTGAGGGAAACTGTAAGTTACCAGTCTGAGGTATATACCGAGTTGAAGGCAGTCTGAGGTACATAGTGAGATGATGTCTGTCTCCCCCCACCCCCAAAAAAGAAAAAAATATAATTTGTATATTTTATCTAGACACTGTATGTATGAATAGTATGTTTTTTTTGGGGGGGGTTGAACTCAGGGCCTTATGCTTGGTAGACACCTCAACACTTTGCCTGGTGGGGGCCTCAGACATCAAGTTCTTAAATACCTTACAGACCTGAGATTATAGATACATAACACCTAGCTTATTTGTTGAGATAATGTCTCAAAAACTTTTTGTCCAGACTGGCTCGGAACTCCCCAATTCCTCCAGAGTAACTGGAACTACAGCCACATACCATCAAGCTCAGCCTCTGAGAAATGTTCTAAGGAAGCAGATAATACAGTAAGCAAACATTATCAGAATCTCTGCCTATAATCAAAAGGTCTGTATAAATGACTAGTGTATGCACAGAAGGACCATAAGATCTAATTTGGCAATAGTCCTCAAATGTTAAAATTAAAGATGATTACCTGAAGAAAATGATTATATAGAGTACAAAAACAATGACAGCAGAGTCAATGGAACACAATTACATGTAGTAATACTTTCTATTCCAATCTCAGGCCAGCCTATTTTAGATACTATGATCAATTCTAGGTGACATTTTTTCTTTTGGTAGGTTATGGGGCTTGAACTCTGGGCCTGGGCACTGTCCCTGAGCACTCTACCACTTGAGCCACAGCACCACTTCCAGTTTTCTTGTGGTTTACTGGAAATAAAAGAGTTTCATGGACTTTCCTGCCTACACTGGCTTTGAACCGTGATCCTCAGATCTCGGCATCCTGAAATAGCTAGGATTATAGGCATGAGCCACAGGCACCTGGCTAGGTGACAAATTTTTTGACTCAAACATAAGCTTGTCTTTTTCACACAAATGGCTTCTCACTTAAGATATTAAGCATGCTCAATATCTCTTAAAATATTAAGACCGGGCTGGGAAGGTGGCTCAGTGGTAGAGTGCTTGCCTTGCATGCCTGAGGCCCTGGGTTCGATTCCCCAGCACCACATAAACAAAAAGAAAAAAAAGCCGGAAGTGGGGCTATGGCTCAAGTGGTAGAGTGCTGGCCTTGAGCTGAAGAGCTGAGGGACAGCGCCCAGGCCCAGAGTTCAGGCCCCACGACCGGACCCCAAAAAAAAAAATATTAAGACCAAAGGGTAGATATTCAAGAGAGTAAAGCTTGTTGTTGAAATTGAAGATACCATATGGTATGATAGCATATAGCTGTAGTCACAGCTACTTGGAAGACTGAGGTGCAAGGACCACTGAGTCCAAGAGTTCTAAGTTAGCCTGAATGATGTAAGATCCCATCTCAAAAAAGAAAGGAGGAAGAAAGGGGATTGGGGGTATGGCTCAAGCAGCAGAGCACTTTATTAGGAAACACTGAGTTCAAACTCCAATATTACCAAAAAATGGGAGCGAAGGAGGGAAAATACAAAAGGTAGAAGGGAAGGATTAAAAGATTATACACTATTTACAGCAGCAAAAGTGTAATGAAGTTCTAGTGGATGCTATGTAAGGAAGCATGCATCATTCGCTGGAATCATTTGGAAATGTTGATAAAACAGGGTTTTTCATTTAGCAGGTTGGGAAAGAAGACTAAAAGTTTTGCATTTCTAACAAAAATCACAGGCTAATACTAATGTAATGACTAATATACACAGACCATCCTTAGAATAAGAATGTAAACAATTTTATACATGTAATCTATAGTTTCTAAAATGATCTGACTGCCTTTCAAAAACAAATCAGCAAAGCTCTTAAAGCCACCATATATCATGGATCAAACACTTGTAAGATCCTCCTTATTACTCTGATATTTTAACATGAAGTCTGATCCTTTGACCAAAAGTATGTCACTCACTCATTCTTATACAAGCACATTGAGGACTGAACTCAAAATGTCAGGCAAGTCTCTATCATTTGAGCCATATTCCCATCCTTTGGATTTCAGTTTGTTTTTCAGATTGAGTCTCACACTAACAATATTTCAGGGGCTGAGCCCCAACTGAGATTCTTCTACCTATGCCTCCCAAGTGCTGGGATTGTTGAGCATGTCCTACCACTTTTGGTGCCTTGTATTCTTTTTCTTTTTTTTGGGGGGGGGGGTCCAGTCGTGGGGCCTGAACTCTGGGCCTGGGCGCTGTCCCTCAGCTCTTCAGCTCAAGGCTAGCGCTCTACCACTTGAGCCACAGCGCCACTTCCAGCTTTTTCTTTTTGCTTATGTGGTGTTGAAGAATTGAACCCAGGGCCTCAGGCATGCAAGACAAGCGCTCTACCACTGAGCCACCTTCCCAGCCCCTGGTGACTGTATTCTTGACAATAGTCCCTAAACAATAATAATACGACTCATAATATTTACAATGTACTAGGTACATCTAGAGATTACTTAAAAATATATAGAAGGATGTGCACGGGTTGTATGCAAATACTAGACTATTTATATAAAAAACTTGAACACTAAAGTATTTGGTACTTTGGAGATACTAAAACTATCCCCCAGGGATACTGAGAGATAATTATACATAAAGACCACCTTGTTTTAGTCAAGTTAAAACTTAGCAGAAAGTCTTATTAAATTTACTTAAGGTAAATACAAGTTACTTTTTATTAGACAACAAATATAATTGAAATTAGTCTTACAAATATATAATACTCTCAACAGGCTGTGTTTGAAATTATTATAACCATCTAGCTCCTGATAATTTCAATTAAATACTTAACTTGCGCAATGGCTCATATCTGTAATCTTAGCTACTCAGGAGGCTGTGATCTGAGGATTGTAATTAGAAGGAGGCTTGGGCAGGAAAGTCCCTAAGACTATTATCTTCAATTAACCACCACGAAGACAAAGGTGGAGCTGTGGGTTCAAGTGACAGAGTGCTAGCTTTGAGCAAAAGAGCTCAGGTATAATGCCCATATCCTGAGTTCAAATCTCAGGACAGGCATCCATTCACACAGAACTTAACTAATTTAGCACTTAAAAACCTAATGAAGTTTTCAAGAAGATTAGATGATGTAACTCAAAGTGGCCAAGTAGACAAATTACAAAGCCAGATGTTCCAACTCAGCCTTACTGCAGCATCAGTCAGTTCTAGAGGTAGCTCACAAATACTCTCATTACAGATCTATACCAATGTCATTTGTACCATATCCATCCAACAATGAATGGTGTTTACAAAAAGAATGTTTTCTTTTTTGTGGTGCTGGGATGTAAATTAAGGTTTCATATCAGTTAGATAAGCACTTGAGCACTGAGCTACATCCCCAGCCTTCGTAAACTTTGGAAGTTATTTATAGTAACAATTAACTGTAGCAAGACTATTCCTTTACAAGATAGTTTTTCTATTGTTCCATGATTTGTTAACAATTTTTTATATGTAAATCAATATCTTCCCTCAATACAAACACAATGAAACAAAATAATATATTGGAATGCTTATTCTTAAAAAAACTTCAGCTTTCAGGGCTGGGAAGCTGGCTTAGTGGTAGAGTGCTTGCCTCGCATGCATGAGGCCCTGGATTTGATTCCTCAGCACCACATAAGCAGAAAAAGCCAGAAGTGACACTGTGGCTCAAATGTTAGAGCACTAGCCTTAAGCTCAAGAACTGAGGGACAGTGCTCAGGCCCAGAGTTTAGGCCCCAGGAACTCAGAAAATGTCTATATGACAAGATAAAATATTATTTGATGAATTTAAATATTGGAAACCAGAAAAAGGTCAAAGGCTGGGAATGTGGCTTAGTGGTAGAGTGCTTGCCTACCATGCATGAAGCCCTGGGTTCAATTCCTCAGTCACACATAAGCAGAAAAAGCCAAAAGTGATACTGTAGTTCAAGTGGTAGAGTGCTAGCCTTGAGCAAAAGAAGCTCAGGGACAGTGTCCAGGCCCTGAGTTCAAGCTCTAGTACTGACACTGACACACACACACACAAACACACACACACACACCCATGCCATGGGTATCTGCCTACAATTGCATCTTTTAAGAGTTTATCAGCAAAAATTACACTAAGAGCCAGGCACTTAATGGTGAAGCTCACTGGACACTGAGGAAAGTGGAGATAGAAGGGAGGCACTGGTATCCAGAGTGAGGGAAGATACTGTATGAAAAGAAATATACTCATTACCTGACTTACGTATAGTATAATAAAAAAAATTCCATGTTACTAATTCCTTGTATTAATATTTATTCACTTTTACTACAAGTAGTTACTATACATCACATTTATAGTACAATAAATTTTTTTAAAAGAGAGCCAGGCACCTGTGGTTCACATTTGTAAGGTTACCTTATTAAAAAGGCTGAAAC